GCTCTGAGCCACACTGATCAGTGGGCAGACATGAGTTTCATTTGAAAAATATACACATTAAAAGCCTAGATAGTACGTAGGGGTGTGAGAAAATATTGAAAAATATTGTATCATGATATTTTGTTTTGTGATTGTATTTAAACCCCCAGCTGCTAGATTGCTGAGGGCTTTTTATTGGGATTTTTGAAGGGATACACTTATAATAGTGAAAAACACCATTGCCTTTTATAATGTGTCATAGAGAACATATATTTTCATATAGAGGTGAGCATTAGGCACTCATATAGTAAGCATTTCTAATGCTATTGCATAAACAAAAACGGGTCAGAAATCAATTATCAACTATGAGCTTAGAGAGAAAAGTGTTAGGTCATGTTTGATGTTTTAGTTACTGTATATATATCACTGTTTTTTCATGTGGTGCACAGGAATGAGTAGGAACAGTTTCTCCTGTAATGAAATGAAAGGCACATCGGTATATGTATGTAAATATATAGTGCCATCTTCTTCTCTCAGTCACTCCCTCTTCTCTTTTTGGTTAAACAAACACTATGATTTATATAGTTTATTATTTGTTTTTATTAATTATGTCCTATATTTTTTAAATAACACTAATACAGTAGAATTCATATCTTAGATAAGCAAATGTACACAGTATGAGAACCATCAATTTTTATACCAAAGTATACATTCATCTATTTTAATATAGCCAGACTACTTTCTCAAATTAAATAAAATCAAAGTTAAAAGTGGGATTTTTCCCCTGCAGCAACACAAAGGGAAATGGAAATTACAATTTTGCTGCAGAACTCATAATAAAAGGTAAGGTAAATAAAGGTACAAACACAACTTAGGTCTTTTTAGATCATGTGGGTTTCAGATTGATGAAAAGTGTATTAAAAAAATCATACTTTAGGTACTCCTATGCATCAGTCAAACAGAAAGACTTAAATTGACTCAGAAGTGAAATAACAGGCTTTAATTTCCTCATTCTGTCGGATTTGGTGGCACTTCCATATGTTTCCTCTTTTGTTTGAGGTAGAAATGGCACCCAGGTCAAACAAAACTACTCTGATTTATCTTGTGTAAACAGTAGCTACACTGCACAGCGCTGTGCCGTGCTGTGCTGGAGAGGCTTGGTAAGGTGCAGGCAGGCGGCGGGGAGCAGGACACCTGTTCATCCTGCGACTACAAGCAGATGGCCCACAAGGCTCCTGCTCCCTGAGGGGAAAACCTGTCAGCTGAGCCCCAATTAAGGAGTCACTGCTAGTCAGAGAGGAGCAGGGGTGGGGGTGGTTGATAGAGAGTAGAGAGCAAAATCAGCCTGATAATATAATGACTAATGTTAACTAATTGGATTTTAGAACTGCAATACAGATACTGTTTGGTTTGTTAATATCCCAGGTGTCCTTTTACTTTGCTGTGACTTAGTGCCCTCCACGCACTGGAATGATCCAAAGTACATAGATTTATGACAGCGTAAGGAAGTACTTTTGCTATGAAGCTTCCCTGAAGCTAAGCACTTTATATTTGTAGGTTCTTATTAGTTTATTAGAATTTTAATGGTATTTGTTCAATTCTTTTTTCTTTTCTTTTTTTTCTTTCTTGTAAATGCTTGTGAGTAAACTTGTGTGAGAAACCTATGATATTAACCAAGTCTGCATGATGAGCTAACATGTATGTTAAATCAAATAAAAGCTGCCAAAATAAATCTGCAGTATATATATACCTTGTCTAGAGCCCGACTGCTATATTGGTTGGCCAATATTATCTATCTACACTTATTGCACACATATTGGTATAGTCTTTTTCAGGCATTTAATGCAAAATACTTTTTACAGTACTGATGTTTAGCTATTTATTTTATTTTCATTCATTCTTTATTTTGACAGTGTAGCCTATATGTTAAATAATTGTTAATAATAAGACAATTATTTATATTGGCCACTATATCAGTGATCTGTGAATTTTTCCTCTCTAAATTAGCCTCACAAAACACATCAGTCTGGTTCTAAAATAAAGAAAACATACATCATATGCTCTCATAACACTGCATATTCTACTAAATGTTGAGTGGTTGGTGTGTGTTTTTGTGTATTCAGGGTTACTGTTAGCAAAGAAGTTTCATGCTGATAAGCCTGAAATAATCTTAATTCAATGGAGAGTCGCAGTGTTCCATGCCATTTTTACACAGTTTCTGAGACATTTCCACCCCATAAGAATATTTAATCAGAAATTAAATGTTGGACGTTACCTGCACAAAATCAACTATCAGGCTACAAAAAGATTTGCCTCCAATTTAACACTTCTGCTGGCTACAGTAGTGGTGATAACTATCAATCATGTTTCAGGCGTGTTTGATAAACTAACCCATGACAGGTTTTGTCATCTGGAAGCCAAGGAGATAAATTTGCATATACATGCTAGTGACATTTACTGCAGTAACTTTATATGAGTGCTCACCCCTGATCAGATTAATGTTGTGGTTTTACACTAAAATGGGAACTACACCCAGCAGATTTACATGTTCTGGTCTGGGCTTTCCATGAGAGGTGGGCTTTGCTACTTTTAGTGTTGTGTATGAGGATTTGTTGATTTGGTGGTTTGAATTCATGATTTGTTCAGGCAAACATTAACTAAGCATGCAAAGGCCGACGTCACGCTTCTCTCGAATTTTAGCAAGACGGGCAACAAGCCAACGGTGCTGGTTGCCAAAGTTGAAAAAATCAGTTGGTGTAATGGAATGATAAAAGGTCCTGCTCCTGTGTTTGAGTAATAAAACTGATACCAAAAAAATTTACCTAGAATTGTTTGCTTGGTTCTGTGCCACACGCACACACACACACACACACACACACACACACACACACACACACACACACACACACACACGTTTGTGTGTGTATGTGCGTGTGGATTTCAGAGACACTCTTCGATCTTTCACAGTTTAAAAAACACATTTCAAGATATGGGATTATAAAAAGTTACAGTTGTCAGAGTTCAGGAAAATTAGTGCATGTTGGCTAAGAGAGTGGATATATGCTGTGTCTAATGACTAATGGAAAGCAGTTGTGTAGGCAGGAGACTGCAGGTGATGGGCTGGGGCAGGAAACACTCCCGCCAGGCTTCACTTTGTTAACCAAACATGGATTTTTAGGCTTCGGGTTGAAGATGCTACATTTCCTATAGGCCATGATTTCTAAATGGCCATTCTCACAAATCACCTTTCATTAAGACTGTTGCCACTGTTGAATCACCTTCTTGACTACATTGTCTGCTGGCAATGTTTACATTTTCTTGTGTTTATTTCAAACTGGAAACATAGCACACATCATTCCCTGTGAGACAGGAAGAAGCTAGAACTGGAAACTGCATAAAGTTGAATGAGTTTTAATTTTGAGACCAAAACACTACTTTTTTCAATACCATATTTTGATGAAAATAAATTTGTTTCCTGCAAAACACCTTTTTTCATTTGACACATAAAAGCAATTGCAGAATATTCAAAGTATTAAAAAAAATATGATCAACTAATGAAACTAGGAAAACATTACACTTACGTGCAACTAATTTGCAAGAGCAAATACATCAGAGGGAAACATAATACCAACCAAATTAACCAAATGCCAACCGTTTTCTATCAACAGTATAATGAAAATAATAAGTTCTAAAAAATGTAATTCTGGACAAATCCGTAAAGGTTCACTGACAATGTATTACATTTGTTTTGTGCCAAAACAGGCAATTTTGCAATACTATTCACTCGTAGTGACTACAGTCAGCAGTGACAGTGATATAAGATTTTCTTTAACATTTAACCCAAATCACAATCTTTCCTTGTCTTAACCAAATGCAGTTTGGACGTCTCCCCTTAAGTAAAGTAAAGTAGTAAAAAGTTATTTGTATTAGCTGTATGATTGTTGTTTTTTTCGGGCATTAGTATTGTATGCATAATTGGACAAGGATTCAATTTCTTCTTGACAGGTTGTTTTGGTATTTATTCACACCTGGTCTGTACAGTACTCTTCTCTACTGAAGGGTAAATTAGGTTTTGTTCCATTGGCAGTGTTGGGGGAAAATAATAAACCTACTCCTTTCTGAAGGTAAATGGCCTGGTAACTGGAACTGTTTAAGTCCAACCTGATAGGCAGCAAGTCTTTGTTTCTGACCTCATCTGAGCCTAAAAGTAATACCCCTCCTCACAAGCTCAGGCCTTTGAAAAGGCGGCGCCATTTTTTCAGGGCCGTGTCCAAACAATAAAGCCCTACACTTACTTTTTTCCTGCTGTTCTGTCTTTTCCTACTCCTTTCCCTTTCTGCCTCTTGTTAGTTTGAAGGCTTTTTCTTCACAGCTTCCTTCCCCACCTGCTAACTTTCCGTCAGACACACACGCGCACACACACACACACACACACACACACACACACACACACACACACACACACACACACAGTCATACTCCTAACACTCATTTTGGGAGCACACACTACTTTTAACATAATTCGTCTCATTGTCTGAGTCAAGCCAATCCCCCACCGATGAAACAAAGAGGTTGCAGGCGGCAGCCGTCCCCAGTGGGCCAGGTGTTCCGCAGGGCTCAATTCTGGGTCCTGGGTTTTTTTTCACTCACTCTTTCTCCTCATGTATCTGTATTTGTGTGTGTGTGTGTGTGTGTGTGTGTGTGTGTGTGTGTGTGTGTGTGTGTGTGCGTGTGCACACGTTCTTGTGATGGCCCTGAGCATGTTGTGTGTGTGTGTGCAGCTGCCCGCCGAGGGCCCTCCTTTGTGTCCCCCTCCCCACCATTGTCAACTCACGCCTTCTCGTCCATTCATGGCTCGAGCCAGCGGATGGGCTAGTGGTGGGGTGTGTGTGTGTGTGTGTGTGTGTGTGTGTGTGTGAGGGGGTTGGGTGGGGGGATAAAGGGGGTGGAGATATCCTAGCTTATCTTAGTGTCCCTTTTTATTGGTGGAGAGGTGGGTGATTTGTGTGTGTACCGAATGAGCTTTGGTGAAGACAGGAAAGTGAGACGTGTGTGTTTGTGAGATTTCTGCGTTGGTATTGGTCAGTAGGCAGACTCTGTGTGAGGAGGGGATGGTAGATGCTTACACTCCATCTGTTGTCAGTCACACCGCTGAACCTGCAGCTTCAGGACACTGCACTCTGCTTCTCAACCAAAAAGGAGAACTTGAAGGCTGATCTCTTAGGATTGCTGCTAAACTCGACCAGGAAACCAATTTTGCTCAGCTCCACTTGGATTGACAGCTTTACTTTCTCCAGCTCACTAGTGGATACTGAAATTTGAATTATTATTTTTTTTCTTGCTTTAAAAGGGAATTTTTATTTTACCACCACATTATTGGGAAATTCCCCCTGACGTTTTTGTGACTTTGTGCCTTGCTACTGAAATGACCAAAGGTAGCATATCAGGAGAGAAGATTGATTGAAGATTGTAGGAGTTGCACTTTCTGTTTTGCAGCCTTGCTGTTTCTCCTGGAGCTGTGTGGTAAGTGTTTTTGTTTTCTTCTGTTTTTGCATGTTAAAGAATGTGTGAAAACATTGTTATCATGCTTTGTCATGGCTTTTGATCGTCATTATAAATAATCGTTAATCGTGAAATCTCTGTGACCATACTACCCAAGAATATATTGTTACTCAACTCACAGTGATGAGTTTAAGAGCAGTAACAGCCAATATGTTCAGATGTGACCAGAATCCTCAAATATGATGTAATGCTGCACCTCGAGAAGTAAAGTTTGTTATTGTGATGATTGTGTTCTTTTGTCTCTAGCTCAAATCTTATAAGTTAAAAGTTGCAAATAGCTTACTAACACAACACTAAAATAATAATTTAAGTAATTTATAGACAGACAATGCCTAATAAAATAATGGGCTTTTTTTAGCCATGCTAGCATCTAGGTCAGTCCACTATTTTGGTTCAGAATGAAATGTCTCCTATCCCAACAAATATTGGATGGGTTGCCATGAGTGTGGTTTTTAGGAATATATTGTTCACTGGAAGGTTTTAGTGCATACACAGTATAAAGAGTGTTCACAAGTGAAATTGAGACAGAGTGAGAGGTTTTCTGTGGTTTTCAGCCAGGGCTCCTTGGGGCATTCCTTTGGGTTTCCCCTTCAGCATAAGGAATAGTTTAATTTCACTCTAGTTTATTTCATCCAAAGTTAATAATTTCTGTATATAATGATGAGAGAGGAACCAATGATGATCAATGATCCTGTTCTCACCCCTATATCCCCACATATGATGGCCTGTGACATGTAGGTTTAGTTACCAACAGGGAGGCAGAACCAGACATAACCAACTGAGAGTCTGCACAACTCAGAGGTGAAAGTGAGTGCTACCCACAACCCCCTACCAAAAAGGTCACATGACAGACAGTGGTGATATGTATCACTGAGGATGAATCTGGACACCACCAGTTGCAGGAGAGAAGTAGGGGAGGGTGGAGGAGGATTCTTTCAGGGAGGTCCCCTGTGGCTTCAGCAGGCATCTGTTGCCCCCGTTGCCCATATATACCCCCACCCCCACCCTCTACACCCCCTTTGTCCCCATCCCAGCCGGTCACTGGTGTGGCAGACCGGCTCACTGCCGGGCTCAGCCAGCAAATGGCAGCCATGCGGCAGCCCTGAGGGACTGGTCAGGGTCTGGCCTCGGGGGAGCTCATCCCTACATACACCCCCAAGGGGGCTAACCCTGGATCATGACACATACAGAGATACACACAGGGCAGAGGCAGTGCAGGCAGGCTGGGTCACTGAGGTGGAGGCTGCAGCATCTGTTCACTATGGAAGGACTCAGCCCCCTCCTCCCACTAAACACAAACACACCTAGAGAAATGATTTGGTAGATGAGTTATTCTTTCCATACAATATGTTCATACAGACTTGGATTTGAATCCCCGGCAAGTTATACACTTCCATTTTTACTAGGAAGTTTCCCCATTGAGAAGCATTTCTCAATGTCTGAACGATCAACCAAGGGAACTGAAAGGATATTTTGAAAAAACAAAAGTGTCAGTGCAACTTAACGTATTATGTTTATTACAGAAAATTAATTTATACAGAAAAAAACTAAAAACATGACGTCAATATTGTTATGGCCGATTTGTAGTTGAGATATGCAGAGAACACCATTAATCAGGGCCTGGGGGCTTGTTCTGTCTATCTATGGCATTTTATGTAGGAATAAGCGATCATTTTGACATCTTGTCATAGCAGAATCTATCCAAACTCATATTTATAAAATTACCTTAATAAGTATGTGAACTCTTCTTGGGCAGCTGTATATTACTGCATATATACAGCAATCTGAATAGCTTTACTCTGCAGCTCAGTCCAGGTCTAAACAAAGATTGATCTATTTTTCTGATCCAATGCTGTTATAGAGTTTCTTATGGATAGACCATAGTTTATTTTATAAAGATTAATCTTAAGATTAATGTCAGTACAGTGTCAGTTTAGCATTAAAAAGCATATACTATAAATATTCTATTTCAGTGTCGTATTATAAGAATTTTGTTCCTTTCCATGTTTGATTTATGTGGGCTTCTTTCACCATAGCATAGTGTTTTGAGGGAGGTGGTCTGCTTAAAACTATTAATACAATGTGCAAACATGTTGTTTGTATCACATATTTTTCCTAAAACTCACAGTCACAGTGGGACAGTAAAAGCCACAGTGACTGTTCAGACTCACACATACAGTCATTGGAATGCTTCTGACTGGGTGATTTACAATTGCTGTGTCACTGTCATATTTCTGCTGACTCCTCAAAGACTCTGTCTGGCAACCTCTTACTGAGGCTGGTGTGACTGCTGCATTACCAAGCACTGTGTGTGTGTGTGTGTGTGTGTGTGTGTGTGTGTGTGTGTGTGTGTGTGTGTGTGTGTGTGTGTGTGTGTGTGTGTGTGTGTGTGTGTGTGTGTTGGTTGAGGTGAACAGGTCTAAAAAAACCCAGCCTCCGTCTGTGCACGCTGCTCAGGCTGAGAGAACAATACTCCCGTCACAGGAGGACAGATTGGGTGGCAGCTGCATTGTTGAAGGACGGCAAGCCAGACACACTTCTTTCCCCCACCCCCTGACACACACACACACACACACACACACACACACACACACACACAAACCCACTCTCACTCTTTCCTTTTGTGTCTCTTTTGTTGTTGGTGGACTAAATTATTCCAGCTCTCTTGTGACATTCAGAGTGACAAACAGTGGCGCAGCAGCTTAGACGTCGGGGTCGGGACATTAAGAGGCCCCTGCTTTCCGGTGCTTTAGCCTAAGATCCAAGAGACTCCGCATTACAAGTGTCGCTAAAATATAACACACAGGGCAAACATGTCTGAAATTAACTCTTTTAAGTCATTCGGTAATGGTTGATAAAAAGTAGTATGCAGAGAATCCTTTTTAAATGCTGAATAAAAGGAACTTTACTGGTTTTCAAAGCCATTTCATGTTCACACACTACGTTATTCTTCATTTAAAGTGAGACTATATAAATTGAAAAAAGGAGCAAGACAAACGTCCTAAGCAATATAAAAACACCCTTGCTAAATTCATGACATTCGGGGGTTTCACTGCTACAACCTTGATCAGATATAATATTCATTGGTGTGTGTAGGAGAAATGCTTCCAAAATAGTTTCTCGTTATCTGAAGAAATTACAGACCTGGTGTGAGGAATCAAGTCTCTTCACTTCATGCATCAAGTAAAGAGTTTTTGCACTGAGAGAACTAGCAACTCTCAATATTTTGGAAAACATTCTCCTACACATGTTTTAATCCCAAATTATGGTGGTGGCGAAGCTCGTAAAAAATACAAAAAGGCCCTATCTAGAGCCATTGTTTGGTTTGGCCTTCCATGGTGCGGAATTTGTTGTAACAAAAACACAAATATTCTAATTTTGAGTTGATAATACACTAATGAAGACATACCTATGGATATTATATTCAATTTCTACCGATATATCCTTTTATATGTTACACACTGGACATTTAAGATAGCTGGTCCTATGTAAATGAAATATCCCCCACATATATAACCCTTTTTCTGGCCACCTAATGATGATGTTGTTAAAGAAAAAGCATCAAATAATTGCTGCTTGTGGCCACAGCAGCTTCTGTTCAGCAGAGTTACTGTCTCATGTCCTGCTGTTTCATTTATATGTCGCTCCGTTTTTGTTTTGTCTTTTTGGAGGCTTTGCACTGCTGCGTCAGTTTAAGTTAGGTTTCGGCAAATGTTGGGATGGTTTACTATGCAAACAGCAGTGAAACCCAATCTAAGATGCTTCCACTTTGTCCAGAGCAGCGTAATAGAGAATGAGATCTGTTTTTATTTGACAGAGACCATACAGGATAATGGTTCCATTGAAAGGTTTTGAAAGTTTAAAGAACACAGACCAAAGCTGTAATCATTTTTTGACCAACCTGGGAGCAGTTTGATACTTTGGAAGTACCCTTCATGGGTATTTCCACAGATAAACAACCCTACACACAAATACACTGACACTGTTTGTTTGTGGTGTGAAGCAACCCAAGCTCTGTCCACATCATACCAGTGATCACAGGTGCTGTGTTGAATTCAGTTCACTCATCTTTCACTCTCAATTCCTTTGTGCACAACCCATGTTGAAGAATGTGTTTTTGCACTGAACAAAAAGGCAAGTAGAGGCAACTGGAAGAATGACCTTCCCATTGTTCACATTTTTGATAATCTGCAACACAATGAACAAAAGCTCTGATGTTGTGCTGAGGTTTCTCTCATGCATCAAACAAAGACAAAGGCTGAACTAGAGCCAAAGATAAAGTATAGTACAGTAAAAATAGGAAAGTATAGGCCTAGTTATTATGTAGTTATGTGTGTGTTTTAATGTACGTGTGTCCTTGATACAGTAGAGATGTGGGAGCAAAGGAACGCGTTGTTTTAAAGGGGTCACTAAGCAATGCCACATCACAACAGGTCCCTCTTTATTTCAACCAATTTGTGGACCCCCACAGAAGAAAAAGAGGCTTTGAGGACTGTTAGAGGATTTTTGCCATAGGGGTATGAAGGGCTCCTAAATCCTGCCAGCCAGGACTACAGTGTTAGGTGCTTATTTACTTTTGTTTTGATCTTTGGAAGAATTTGATTGAATATCCTGATTTCAATTTGAATTTTATTTTGAGAATGTGAATTTGTATGGCACAACTTTAAATGCTGTAGAAATTAAATAAACAAACTACATTGATGATCCCTTAGTAAAATTTTAAAGGACCAGGCCATTTGTTTTTTTGTTGTTGCAAGTCATGTGGGCAGTGGTCAGATGGCTCTTACCAAGTGTAAACCTATTGTGACGTCACCCATGGGTTTATGGAGTTGCATTTTGAAGCCGTGAGGTTGGGGTTATGTTCGTCGCCATGACAGTTTGTCGGACCCAGTGGATGTGATGTGGTTGAGCGGCTCTCATTGGCTGCCCAGTTTCAACTTGTCCGTAGCAGGAAACAATGCCGGCTCGCCTGCTCACACACGATCTCGTATTACAGGTTAACGGTACACTAAAATATGTTTCTGAAATGATTTTAGGTGAGAAATATGCAACGCAGTTACAGAACTTGATTCATATCTGATCAGCACTGCCTGGTTTGACAGTTTAATTGGAGTTTCGTTTGCTGTGCAGGACAGACTCACTGAGAATTACCTTTCATCACAAGGTAGCCACACCCCAAAGCATACCCTGCTTTAACGTCTATTTTACTCTAAGTGGGACCAGAATTTACTAAATGAGCATTATGCTGTATGGAAGAAGACTTGAAACTAGTGATTCAGACAATAAACTCATTAGGAAACTGTTTACTGAGCTAATAAATCAAGAGAAGAAATTACTCCTTGAGACTGCATGGTATCATTTTTTCTTGCAGCCAATAAAGCTCCCCCTGCTGGCCATTAAATAGATTGCAGGTTTAAGACAATTCTGCGTCAGCTTCACTTCACTGACCCAGAACCTGGGAACTGTCAATGGTATTTACACACTAACACTCTTACTTGTAACACTCGCTGCCTGCAGGTGGCACAAATTGCTGAAGCTCCTACACTCGCGCATCTCGTCCTATTCTTGTTGCTCCCAACTCATTTCAACCCACAAGATTTCATCTCCCTGTGACTGCAAACAACCTAACAGAAAACTCCTGTAGGTTAAACTGGGCATCATGCACACTTGGGGCATAATACCACACTACAACACAAACACAACACAATACAACACAAACATATCCTATTATCTTATATGCTGGCGAATATTGTATTACTTATAGTATCTGCATGACTATTAAAAAACTTCCACTGCTGTTGCTTTTGTTTCCTATGGATGGCACAGGTTAGACTGAAACACCAGGTAGTGCTGACACTGAAAAGTCACTGCAGTAATGAGAAGGGAAAAGTTTTAAGTTTGAACTTTAAAATTAGCACTTTAAAAGACAAAACTGTATTACGCTGTAACTTTAAAGCACTCTGTCAGTTACAATTACAAGAGTAACTACATCCTCAAATTCTGCTATGACCTTCCCTTCAGCCATATTTAAAATAAGGAAAAGGGTATTGGCCACACTCTCACAAATCTGTGTTTATACCTAACATGTAACTCACTCAAGAAAATTGTTAGTGTTGTTTTAATTTATGTGTAAGGAGAAATAAGTTCAGCACAAAAGAAATGGGTGGCTAAGTGCTAAGCACTTATGCATTTCACTTACCGTATGCTATCATACATTGGTAGAATCAGACCTAGTTTGTGATGCTGTATTAAACTGCATCCATGTGCATGTAATTCTGCTCAAGTATTTATTTGAATGTTTTGTATAGCCTGCAGCCAAGGCACCACAAGGTTGTGATAGCACTGAGCAACAAAACAAATAAGTGCATATAAGTGTATAAAAAAAATACCAGTGTATGTTAGAATTTTGTCGTTTATTTTGTTTGTGAAGAAATTAAGAATTAAAAATCATAAATTATCCTTATTTCTGAGAAAAATAAAAAGATTTTGTCAAGATCACCCAGCCCTGTGTGGAGATAATATTCTTGGCAGCTGTGTTATTCCTTGGCTGATCCTGCATGTTGGAAACAGTATTTGTCACTGCTAAAATGCAAATCAGTAGAAGTGAAAGGGCAGGTCAGGGAGGTTACAGTTTTTAACTTCACCTTATAAGCCTGCTGCGTTCCATTAAATTTAATAGAGCGTTACTCCTGCCAAAGTTTAGTTTTAGCGTCATCATGAGACCTTGCATTTAAGACCTGGTATTAATAAGCATTCCTTAATTCTGTGTTGAGATCTCATTGAGGGCTGCAACTAATGATTATTTTCATTATCGATGAATTTGTTGTTCAGTCTATACAATGTTTCCCAAACGCCCAAGGTGACATCCTCAAATGACTTTTGTCCACAACCCAAAGACATTCGGTTTACTGTCAGAGAGGACTAAAGAAATATTTATGTCTGAGAAAAAGCAATCAGAGGCTTTGGACATTTTGTCTTGAAAAATGAATAAAAATAATAGTTGGTGATTAATTTAATAGTTGACAACTAAACAATTAATTGAGTAATTGTTAAAGTTCTAATCCCAATATGTGAATTGGGTCGGTGGAAGCTGACAGACTTTTTATATCACATCCTAGGTCAAAGGAAGTGATGTTAGTAGGTCTCTACTTACTTTTCCTTCACTGGTGAAGAGGTTGCCTCTAGGTTTCTAGATGTGGCCAAACTGCTGGCTGAGATCTGATCACACTGTGAACCATACCACCTTAAGATTTAGATTTACATAAATATATATAAATTTATACCTTAAATTAATGTGTTTTTTCAGGTAAGATATCCAGATATAGATCACATGGGACCATAAAGTAGTTTTTAATATATAATGAAAATCATTAATTGATCTGTGCCTGTATCTAAATTAATAGACCTTCTAGATCTGACTCATTCCTGCACATTTTTAGACTCAGAACAATCTGCATACTATCACTCTCATGCAGTCCTCAGGAATTTAACCAGTCGATTCTTGTGTCTTCCTCAAGCTTCACTCCCAGGAGCAGTCAGTGAGCTGTTAACTATCAGCAGTAACAGTGGGGTCTGTCAGGTGCCCGGGAGGTCACGGAGGGCGTGGAGCTGGATGTATGAGACGGCTTCATGGGCGTGAAGGACCATCTGCAGGATGGAACAGGCCATATCCTCAGTCTGGGGCTGGATCTGGACTACCTCCATGTGGAAGGTGCTGAGAGGCAGGCTGGCGTGAGCGCTGTGACGGGTGCTGGGAATATAGGGGTCTTACAGGTCAGAGCTGATACCCCGAGTAACAGCAGCAACAATATTGGTAGTAGTGGCACTAGTTTTAATACTCATTCAAGCTACAGCAGCAGTAGTAGTTGCAGTAACTTCTCTGAGGAGAGCGCTGTCTCAGACAGTGATGATGAACGGCTCCATAATGGGTCTGGTTCTGAGTCTCAAAACCCTCAGCATCATCACCACCAAGAGTCCTCCTCAGTCTGTCAGACAGTCAAGCCAGAAACATCTGACCCCGTCACAGACTACCGCACCAAGGTGGAGTTTGCTCTCAAGCTGGGTTACCCTGAGGAGCTGGTGCTGTTGGTGTTGAGGAAACTGGGCCCAGACGCACTCATCAACGATATCCTAGGTGAGCTGGTCAAACTGGGAACCAAGACAGAGATGGAGCAGCAAGGAGATTCGACTGTCTCCCACTTTCCCTCCTCCTCTTTGTCATCCTCTTTGGCCTGCTCGTCCTCATCCTCGTCCTCTAACTCCTCTCTGGACTCCTGTCGGCTGCTGCTGGAGGACAAAGAAAACCTTCGGCCTGTTGTGGTGGATGGGAGCAACGTAGCCATGAGGTAAGGATGAGAAGCTTTCAGAAACAGCAGGTTTATGCTCTCCTGCTTTTTTTTACTTGCTCGTAAATGTAGCCTCATTTTACATGCTTAAGGCACTTGCTCTTCAGCCAACAAAAAAAACAAATCCTATGTTGTAGAATAATGGAACAGTGGCTATTATCAGGCTGTTGTTAGCAGCTAAGCTACTGTTATTAAAGGATAGCAACCATATGAGCATATGACATACTATAAAATGTTTACTCACTGAAACATGCTTGTTTTTTAATTTTTAGTTTTAATTAAAGTCTCCAAGGTAGGTACCTGTACACACAATGAGGAAAGATAGATCACACCCACTGACATTGTATAAAACTCTCTAATCACAGTTTTAAAGTATAAACTGGTTTAATGCATTAAACCAAGGATCCAAGGCTGTACCATGCAGACTGAAGGTCTCTGGGGACTGCCCATTGTTCCGACAGACCATTATTCAAAAAACCCAATGTAATAGTCTGAAAAATGTCCCATTGGACAGAAAGCCCATTTGTCCAACAGCTCGTTATCCCAAAAACAAAAGCCCATTGCTCTGGAGGCCTGTTGTTCCAAAAAATGCACACTCTCCCTGGAGTTGTTTTGTGTGTGTGTCTTTGTGTATTTTGACATGCAAACGTCAGATGATGTCATGGTAAGAATAGTCAGGTGACTGTCATCGTCACGGCAACAATAATAAACATATAGTGATTGTTAAACGATTGCAGTGGGTTAAAGTAAGTACAGTCACGTCAGGTTACTTACATGATCTAAGCTGAATACGCTACATAAGTTATACGAGGCTGGTGACAGGCCTTCGGACCAATGGGTGTTGTCGGGATACCGGGATGTATGACAAATAGGCTTTTGGTCTGATGGGCCATTTTTCAGACAATTGAGGTTTCATAATAATGGGCTGTCAGAACAATGGCATGACTCTAGCTCTATTTGGGTTACCTGATCTTGAAGTACTTGTGGATTACTGATATTTTTGTATCTGCATAATTTAAGGGAGATTCAAAGTGGGCCACTATGACAATTTTTTTTTATTTACAATCATTATTGTCTGCTTGAGTCTCCAGATCAGGTTAGCCATGCTGAATAGGTTGCCGTAGTGATATATCCCAATTAAGTTCAGTCCAACCTTAATTGTGTGAGGACTGGGCAAAGGTCATATGGGAGCGCCACTTTTATCTCAGGTTCAATTCCTCATCATGGACTTCTAGACATTTGTGCTGAACTTTATTTTACTCTTGCAGCACAATGACATTACATCTAAGAGGTGCAACTTCCTGAAAGAGATGAAAATGGATTATGTCATTTGTCTAAAAGACAGTCCAAAAGGAGATCTGTATACAGCTGCAATCACTGCAGTCCCTGGGACTTCCCTGGCTGCGTACCACTCCTTTCTGTTTCAGATTCTGCTCTCTTTATGTACTCTAGCTTGTTAGGTCCACCTGGTGCAGTATAACAGTAATTCCTTTTAGCTCTCACTGTTACTAGGTTATTAGTGTTGCAAATTATTTATTCTCTAAACTTCGTGCCACATCCATGTTTCTGGTGAGCATGACACAAGCACCTTCAGCAACTTTAAGTGTTTCTACTTTCTTGGAAGGGTTTTGGTTGTCTCGCCACATACACTTGGCTTAGCACACCAGGCTCTATTGCAGGGGGCCCGCTAATAGCTTTGGCTTCTGCTACTGCATTAGCTTGATGATTGTAGTCTGGCACATTCTCTTGTACATATTCATGATCTAGCTCTCTTGCCAGGAAAGACTCTCTTTTCAGTTCTTGTTTTGATCAGTAGTTTCAGCAAAGTGCCATAAAACTCTGAACAGTGCTGACATCCGATTATGGCAGGTTTATATGCTTGACAAACAAGTAGCACTTTCTAAAGTTGTGTTCTCCAAGTGCGAGAAAATGTGTTGTTGATATGAATACAAAACTGCATCAACACTTCCTCGTACACTCCTGAGCACTGACCACTCTTTTTTGAGTTTGCGTGCATGATTTCCCTCATTTCATCACTGGGAAATCCAAATCTGCAACCAGTTCTGTGACTTTCTTGTGTAGTTCAGGTTGTGTATGTGGGTCAGGTAGTTGAGCTGCGATGTATTCAGACACATAGTGTTCCTCAAGTGTTCCATTGACCCATATGATGCAGTGTATGTGTGAGCTTCCTCTGTGCTGAAACTCCACCCACTAAATAGTTAACAACTTTGCCAAGGGCTTGTGCAGGAAGCTATTCTCTGAATAATGCCTCAACATGTTTATCAAACATGCATTGCTGTCACAGGATGTTGAGCTCCTCAAAATTAACCTGATCTTGTCTTTATTTCGCATCAGCTTCTCAACCTTACTGTTTTACTCTGTTTTACAACATTCCTTTTATTTTACGTCCATATCTAGTGAAAGGCTTTTCTGTTTGTAACTGTGTTGTCATGTTTGAAGCAGCCAAGTGTATCTGAGTGATGAACTGTACAATGGCTAAAACGACATAGGAGACAAAAGAACAAATTGTTTGTATCTCTGGCAAAATGATCATCAACACAGAAAAGCATTGTTTTAAAATACTTGGTAGGTGTTCATTTAATACATCTCTTTTCATCTGATGGGGGATTGAACAGGGAAAGCCAGAGCTTCAAGTTTAGGTGTTTTAAAAAAGCTGGCTGGTTTGTTTCTTTCAGCAGGGGCAACAGAGTAGATTCCTTCACTAAAACATAATAGGCATGATTCTAGCAAAACCCCCATTAAACATATCCCCTTCTTGTTTGCTGTGCACCTGTCTGTCTGTCTGTCGCTCTCTCTCTCTCTCTCTCTCTCTCTCTCTACTGTTGGGTCTCTGTAATTAATGTTAAAGAGTTCGGTCTAGACCTGCTCTATTTGAAAAGTGTCCTGAGATAACTTCTGTTATGAATTGGCGCTATACAAATAAAATTGAATTGAATTGAATTGAAATTGAAATTGTTCTGTATCATCTGTCTACTCCTCTGGCTGATTGTCAGTATAATGATGCTCTTCATAGATAGCGTCATCTCCAATAGCTCTGATCTCTAATGGATCTGATTCAGTTTATGCAAATAAAATAATTTTTAATCCCGTATATTAAACTGTTGTGGTGGGGTAACCATTTTGTTTGCATTTGCATCTTTGATTCCTCCTTTAACATTGTCTTTCTCCTCTTGCAGTCATGGAAATAAGGAAGTGTTCTCCTGTCAAGGCATCCAGCTGGCTGTTGATTGGTTCTTGGAGCAAGGTCATCGTGACATCACTGTTTTTGTCCCTGCCTGGAGAAAGGAGCAGTCACGACCTGATGCTCTCATCACAGGTAACATCTGCTGTAGCTTTTAGTGATAATTTAAAGTTACAATGAAATGACACTGTGACCTCTTATTTGGGAGGGATTTCCTAGGTTATTTAATACCAATGGGGACATTTATAACTTTTTCTTCCCTTTTTAATGTGTAACTGTATCCCCCTCTCTTTCTTCAGACCAAGAGATTCTACGGCGACTAGAGAAAGACAAGATCCTGGTCTTCACTCCATCTCGCCGTGTGCAGGGACGCCGTGTGGTTTGCTATGATGACCGCTTCATCGTCAAACTGGCCTATGAGTCAGACGGCATCATCGTTTCCAACGACAATTACCGAGACCTAGCCAATGAGAAGCCAGAGTGGAAGAAATTCATTGATGAGCGTCTACTGATGTACTCCTTTGTAAACGACAAGTAAGCAATCAGTGCCAAAGGAGAATGAATTATGTTGTGTGTGTGTGTGTGAAGATGAGAAAAATTCCGTTAGAAATTATATTACAGAAAATTGACAAATCCTTAAACTGCATTTGCCCCAACATATTTGATATATTAAAAACACATATGTGGCATTCCTTTAGAGGCATAGGAACATATATAATACAGCTTTACCTTCTGTCCAAGAACTATTTATTTTGTCTACAACATCCAGTTTGTGTCCCAACTGCTAAAAACACTTGTTAAAGATGTTCAAACCAAGCCAGTAAAATTTACATAATGTATTTTTGCAGGAATATTAACTGAGGATTTCCTCCAGACACTTTCAGTTCCTCATTGCCTTTCTTTAGATCTTTATTACCCCTCCACTTTTACTCCACTGATCAAATCCCCTCTGTACACACTAGAAAAGATTCTCTGGCTTTTGGGTTGTGTCCCGTATTCCTTAAGTGAACTATTGTCACAACCTTTGTTTCTTCTTATTGGTTATTGACCTATTGGTTTGTTAATTGTAATATTGCTGATTGCTGAAACTCTACAGTTTCTTTACACAAACTGAAGAATTTTAAGTTTAATAAGTTTCTTTTGTAAAATTTGGATTTAATAAATATTTTAATCTGTTAACTGCGGATTTAGGTTCATGCCACCAGATGACCCACTGGGACGCCACGGACCCAGTCTGGAGAACTTCCTGAGGAAGAGGCCTGTTATTCCTGAACACAGGAAGCAGCCATGTCCTTATGGTAAAAAAATATTCACTTAAAAACACGTCCATGAGAGAGCAGTAATATTTAAAAACACATCTTTCTGTCTAAATAAGAATTATTTTTGTTTTTTGTTTTCATTTTCAAATTAAATTCCTTAATTGTTGAAAATAAAGAACAAAAATCCCTGAGATATTTTGATGGTTTTCATTCTAGCAAATTGATGGGAAATGCTTTGATTTTTTTCTTCAATTAGGGAAGAAGTGCACATATGGACACAAGTGCAAGTTTTACCACCCTGAACGGGGTAGCCAGCCACAGCGTGCAGTTGCTGATGAGCTCCGTGCGAGTGCCAAAATTTCATCAGTAGCTTCCAGAGGCCTGCTGGAAGATGCCCTGATGGCAAAGAGCCAAAGTTCTGGTCAAGCAGAAGGAATGGCTGAGGCCGAGCAAATTTGGAGCACTCCAAAGAAACAGCCAAACCCCACCCCTCGGAGCTCCTTCAATGACCTCCTGGAGGACAGGTTACGGGTCCAGTCCAAAGTGGAGGGACGTAGGGGAAGCAACAGCAGCAGCAGCAGTAGCTGTAGCAGCAGCTTTCTAGGGTATCCTGGTCCTGGGGGGCCCCATTCATCAGGAAGTCTGGACCGATGGGAGCCTCCTGGGGGAAGTGGTGGAGGCAGTTCTAGGGTTGCTGGAGCCTCAGGACCAAGCCTGGCTGAAACTTACCACAGATGCGAGTCTCCAGACCTGGGCTACAGCTCGCTGGTAAAGGCCTACTCTAGCCTCAGTCTGGTAGTGCCACAGAGTCCTGAATGCTTCTTCCCAGCTGATCTGCGAGCTGGATCACTGCCGTCAGACTGCAGCAGTGAAGGCAGTGTCAGCTCAGACTCTTTCTCCCCTGACCCCTTGTTGGACGATGGCCCCAAGTGCCACCATCACCACCCCCATCCTCGCCACCATCACCACTGCTCTGGCCAGTACGCTCACTCTGCGAGCCGTGCCCCTCCCGGTCTGGGCCAGCATACTCCCCATGGCTATTCCGTTCCTCAAGCCCTGCGGAGACAACTTGGTTTTGGCTTGGAAGACCCTCCGTCTTCTGTTGCCTCTCATGTATCTCCACGTCCCTTCAAGCCACCTTCAGCCTACATCCCACCGCACCCTCAGCATCCAGCGCTGAGCAATTTCCCAGGGGAATACCAAACTCGTCCACCACGTCCACCCCAAGCATCCACCTCACACTCCCACTCTCAGAGCTCCCCGCTCGGCCGCAATGTGATGGGCTCCCTTTGGCAGGAAGGTGGGCTCCAGGATCCCCAAGTGTACAAAGGGTCACCTCTTAATTTCAGAAGAAACCACTCTGGGCTAAATCAACAACCACAGCATCAGATAAACTGGGACCCCCATTACCAGCAATCCCCTAAGCCTTGCTATGACCTGTTTGCCTTCCAGAGCCTTCCAGAAGTCCATGAGAAGGCTTGGCACTCTCCGTGGGGCAGGCAAGCCCATTCATCACCCCGTGGCCTTTCAGCATCAAGTCTTCCGCCACTCCCTCAGCTGTCCCTTCCATCCATCACTACCCACAAAAGCCACCTGCCCTCGGTGCCCCAGCACCAGGAGCCACCTGGCTTGGGTCGATACCAGGACCTCAGAGAGAGGGTGTTTGTTAACTTGTGCCGCATCTTCCCTCCAGATTTGGTGAGGACGGTGATGACCAGGAACCCTCATGTGATGGATGCTCAGGAGCTTGCAGCTGCGATTCTGATGGAGAAATCGCAGCACGGTTCTTGAATGAAGCCTGGCGTTGAAGTTACAGCTTCATCTTAATTATTAAAGTCAGGTTGGACATACACTAACCAAAAGCACAAGCTGTAAAAGCTAATTAATCTGTTAATGGACTGCTTATCTTATTTGCAGGGAAGTTGTCTCATTCATTTAAATTTTTGTTTTTGTACAGGGAAAACCCCCAAATTGCCATATTTTCCTATACACATGGCTGCTATTTCAGCACTTAAGATCAGGAAAGCTTGGGGTTTAATGTGCATGTTTGAGCTATTGGTTATGAGTCAAGACACCGGCGTGCTTAGGGAGGCTTTTAATGTGTTTTAAGGGTGACAGTGTTGTTCATTTTAAATTAATTTATTTGTTACATTTTAAGTTATTTACTTATTTTAAAATTATTCTGTTTTTGGCACTTTTTTTGTTATTGTTGTGTTTTCTTCTCAGCTTTTTTTTTTTTTCCAATCATATCAGGGTATATGTAGTTCAAATTCGTACCTTCCATCTGAGTGAAATACCTCTATTTTCCAGTAACTGATATGACAGCGTGGAGTGTGTAAAATAATATAGTCAATTGTAAAATTTCACTGCCACATTGCAAATACATTCCTACTGTATTTAATGCTCAAATTAGCTCAACAAACGGATCTTTCTATACTCACAGGTGGTGGATAAGATGCTGTGGTGAGATTTTGTGGATTTCCCCCACGGGGAAGTGAAACTCAGTTGGCACCCGCAAAAGAAGATTGAAAAAACTCCATTCGAAAAACCCCCAAGCAGTTGTTCACTTTAGAGTGTATTTCCTCTGTTAGGATAGCCCTGTCAGCTGACTTCACAGTTCACCAGCTGTCAGTACAGAAACACAGACTCTATCCTTTTACATCTTTAACCCATATCAAAATTTTAAATCATATCAAGGTGGCTGTTGAGAGCATGGTCACCAGAAATCTTTAGGTGGAATGAGGATTGTTGGTATTATTTTCATTTTAATTTAAAATATGTGTTAATTTATTACCTTTTTATGTGTGAATATCTGTGGTGCATGAGACACAGGGTCTCCTTTGTCAGTGGTGACACCACTAGGAGTGTTTAGGCACCTCGAACAGGGTATAACTCGTTTGTACCCTTCTGTTAAATACACAGAGATCCACGCTTTTGCAGTAAAAGACAGGAGCACACTGGCAAGAGGTGGGAAACACCTTCTTAAAATTAAAATCTTCCCACAGAGTACCAGACTTTTCTCAGATGCACTAATAATCTCATTGGTTAAATTAATTTTTAAATAAAAAACATTTAAGTGGTAATAACTTTAACTTTAATTTATTTATGACTTAAACTAATTACATGCCTTAGACAGCAATACGCTGATATAACTACTTTAAATGTGAAAGTCTAGATTAAGTTAGTTTTTTAATGTAATGTTGTTGTACAAGTACTACAAATAACTATTTTCAGTTTAATTAATCTGCTATCATAATTAAATATGTTAAATCTCATAATTCCGTAACACCCATCGACCTAAAGTAATAATTATATCAGTATTTTTTCCAAAATACTAATCTTTCCCATTTTTGTCTGCTTTCTCTTTTAAAGTATTTTTGTCTTATCTTAATGTAAAGCACTTTGAACTGCATTTGTTGTAGGAAATAATAATATTCTTGTATTTATCTCTGCCAGTGGGATTATTTAAACATCTGAGGAACTGTTTGTAAAGCTCAGACTCTTGCCTGGTTAGCACAATATCTAGTCGTCAGTTGACACCTCTCTTTGTTGATACAAATTGTATCCTATAAACTTTTGAAACAAGATCATCATCATGATGTTTTATATGAAAATATTTAAACAAAAAATATTTCGAGTTGAATATTTTGAGTATTTGTGGCAAACTTTGTCACCTTTGGTACTTAGCCTTTATTTATATGAGGGGGCTTTTTATTGCCTTTTTTTCCAAGTGCAGGAAAGAGAAAAGTCTCAATGCACTTTTTGGAAACAGTTATTGTTATTGTTTATATTGTCAGTGAACTGAAAACATGGTACTGTGTAGCCCAAAAAATATGAAACCTCAGACAGGGTAGAGGTTTAAGTCAGCCCAACCATGGTGAAAAGCACACACTGAAAATAACTGTGGTTAAATGTGTTAAAATGATGATGTGGTTAAAGTCGATGTGTTCTCCTTCGTCATGAGACAGATTGAAGATTGTCTACATCATACTCAAAATCGGACTCACGTACTACACAACAGTGGACTGTGAGTGGGAGTGCAGTTAAAAGACAGGAGGTTTTAGAGAGCTTTCAAAACAAAACTGCCTCTCAAACAGACGCCTTTCCCTTTAAATCTAAAATCACAACCACAATATTTCATCTGTATTCCTCTCGAAGCTCTCTTACTTGGAAAGCTTTCTTCTCAAGGGATGTACTATAATCTGAAAGGTGTCGTCTCAGGAACAATACTCCTGCTTGTCTGGATAAAAAGTCTGTCAGCAGATTTATTTTTCTCTGACAGTCTAATGGCTGAGGAAGTCAGTCCATAACTGAGGTTCTCTCACCCTGCCGGTCTGGCTGGCACTGTGTGCTACTGTTTGTCGCAGGGTTCAGACACAACAATTGAACTAAACCTCTGAAGGTGTCGTGTTAACATTCCTGTGGATATTGAATTTACTGTATGAGGGCAAAAGATATTTTTCTATTATCATGAACATGTTTAAGAGCTATTTTTCTAATTGTACACAATGTTTAACCGCAAGAAGAGATTGTAGTCGATGTCAGTGTTGCTGAATAAGGGGATGTGCACGTTGCTAACAGTGCTAATGTTTTGTCCTGTTTATATTACAAACGTTACTTGACAGTGTTCAGACTGAATATGAACCAAGCACATTTACGCCTCGCTTTATTCGTGTGATTCATTTGAGTGTTTTTTTCACCAAGGCAAATGTTAGCCGTAATTGTTTGTTAGCTAGCAACGTACGCACCAGACGTGCAATAAAGTGTTACAATAGGCTTGTTGGTTAGCAAGCATTGTGTGTAGGCTGTTTTCACAGAGCAGGCGCAGGTGTTACCAGCAACGTTAACGAGTGTCAAGGTTAGCCATGACAGTGTAAAAGTGAACACCGGCACCCTAAAACCAAAGCAATGTAATGATATTCTGTAGGGACGAACGAGTACACCGTTATCTGTAGGTCTCGGATCAACCAGCTACTTTTTCTGTATTTGTATCTGTACTCGGAAAGAGGGGGGCTTAAACGGGACATTGGTGTGGCTAACAGGAAGTAAATTTAAGCCTGAAATTGATATGGGTTGATAATAAGTGGCTGTATCAATTAGAGAACTATTTACAGTTAGACACGACAGTTTAAAGTTATTTAAAGTTGGTGTTTTTTTATTGACACATTTTTATCTGATGATACTTGAAAAAAGTTCATTATCTATACCTGATACTCATTTCAGCCGAACACTCACTCAACCCTAGCATTCGGTTGTCATTATTATTTTTTTTACACCTGTGCTTGTCCTCCTGTCAAAATGGCCGCCTTGGTACCCTGTGACTTTATTCAGAAATGTACGTCACAGCGAAGCAGCGTGCCAATTTTGTTTGTACCTGTAATGACAGCACGGTTGTACAAAACTGCGACTGCTATCCCACAATGCTTTGTTTCATAGGGGGGTACTGAAGGGGGGTGATATTCTCGTTCTGCACCGCGGTCAGTAGGTATTCCACAGTGACCTTGCTTCTGTTGTCTTGTTCAGTCGTGCTGCCTATTTGCTTGCCATTCAGTCTGAACACACCCGTATTAATTCATGTGTGGGTTTTGTCTAAAAAATTGTTTTTGTTTGTTGCTTTGACTAAAGTGGCCTCAAAACCAGCTATCTTATCCAATGGTAAAAGAAATGTAAAGTATCAACACTGTCAATGTTTATCCCAGTTTATTCCCACCTTTATCGCTAATGTGCTTTAATACAACTTAATTTGTGCTACATTTAAGTGCCACCTCTTCAGGGACCAAAGCCAGGTAAAAGGCCGTTTGTTGCTTTCCGATGTTTCCCCTTGCTCAGGCTCATGGTGGTTATATTACAGGTGAACCAAAATAAAAAAGAAGGTATTAAAAGTGTTTGACCATTGCTGCTGTTTCACGGTGTGCGGGCAAATGAAGAGTTTCATTCCAAAAGAATGACCTGAGCTGGGTCATATACAGCTGTGCTGATTCATATGGTATATTGATTAAATCTAGTCAAATTGTCTTTTAAAAATACCTTTTTTGAGCATAATGTGCAATACTAACAAAATGTATTGCTTTAAGTTGAAATTGAATTTGAAAACCAGCCCAAATACATTATCCATTTTTAGAAGAAAAATACACTTGAGATTCAGATGAAATTGGTTGGAATGCTTTTCCATAAAAAAGTTTTACCATCATGTCATTAATTGTGTCTTAGCACATCTTTTTTTATTTTATGAAAACATGTCTTTTTGGAGTGGTTCTCTTCAGACGTTCGTGCTACAGGGCCGTGCAACTCAACTGAGCTTTAGGCAATAAAACCCAAAACTAAAGCACGTAAAACAAACCTGTCATACCTTCGGGAAAACTGTGGCCAAATGAGACATGTTGACTGTTCTTGTGTGTGATGTAAAAGTGAGCAATAAAAGCCCTACTCAAGCTTTCATGTGTTGTTTGGTCGATGTGAGGTTCCTTATTGGCTCCTCAATGTTACTTTAAAGGACCAGTGTGTGTAGGATTTATTGGCATCTAGCAGTATGGTTGCAGCCCTCACCTTCCAAGTGTGTAGGACAAACTACAGTGGCAGTGAACGCTCCTGTCTAGAACCACTGTTTGGTTTGTCCATTCTGGGCTACTGTAGAAACATGGTGGTTCAGCATGGTGGACTCCTTGGATGCGACCTGTGGCGCCTGTAGATTTAAACGGCTCATTCTAAAGGTAATAAAACACAATGATTCCTATATTCAAGTGATTATATGCTAATGGAAACATACCTATGAACATTAGATTACATTCCTGCCAATAGATCCTCCTAAATGTCACACACTGGACCTTAAAAAGGAAACTAGAGAGATCCAGCAGGGGACAGTATGTAAATAATATCTTGGGTTAAGACATCAGTTTCACATATTGCATATCTGATGGGCACTGATGGAAGGAACTGTGTTTTGGTAATATGTAGATAAGATAACTATAAGGCGAGTTCATTATAGGACATAATATCAAATTAATGAGAATAGAAATCACAAAAAAATCCTTTCCACACTTGCAGAAATCTTTTGCTGCAGGATGAATTTAGATAAAAGAAAACTACAAAAAGAGCCTTTTTCGCAGCAGCCATTTTGACACGATTTAAAGCTTAGTGTCATTCATACCTCCTGTTTACCCTATTATTTCATGTCAAAACAGCTGCTGTTGAAAAGGTCTGCTTACCTAGATTATATCAACTGTTAAATTTACTGTAATATTGACTGTTTCACTGATTAAAATTGATGACACAGCAATGATTTAACTTACAGTATATTTGTGACATGATTTGGTTTTATTGGTGGATTTTTCAGACTTTTCTTCGTCTGGTTTGACCTCTTCACATCGGTTGAAGTCAACAGATGTTTCCCAGGTGAAGATTTATGTATTTGCGGTTGCTGGAAAATATTTGTTTTTACATTTTATTTGTATTTAATACATTTCCCTATATAAATCTGCATAAACTGATGATGTTTTATGGATAAATACATTTAATTTACAGAAATGATATTTTACAATTCAGATAAAGTTACATAAATAATGTGTTTTATTTACTGACATTAATAATCAGCGAATTAGTTCTTTTCTTGCTGTTATTTTTAAGTGTCTTTGCTGTAACTGGTAGCAGTGGAGAGAGTGTGAGTTAAATCAGTTAATGATCCAAAATGATGGCACGTGATCGTTTGTTAATGATATAATAACTTCACTATGTTGCTGTCTGACCTTTTTCACAGCAGCCATTTTGCCACAAAATAGTAGGGCAAACACAGGTGCTAATTACTAATGCTAATACTAATTAAGATTCTGTTCCATTTATGTCAGAGTCAGAGCGCAGCTATTGTGCATGTTGGCTCTGCTACACCCTAAATAGTGTCATTGGTTACACCATGTCAAAATGGCTGCCATAAAAAAGGTCTATTAACTAAGAGAATATCAAAACAACACTGTTCATCAGGTTCAGACGTGTCCTCACCTCAGTCAGGACTCTTAAGATCATACTGTTGCTGCATAGTTGGAAATATAAATGCGTTCTTTATTGTGGGGAAAAATATATATTTGAACAAATGCCTCAGTGGATGGAGAATGCCAGCACAGTAAGAATGTAAAATAAGGTAATTTAGTTTGCATATCTGTTTGCTCACAACTCTCAAGAGTGAGCATTTGCAAACTGACAGCCATTCAAGAAGATAAGAGCAGATGCAACATCGACAGTGACACTGACAGCAGAACTGAACAGGCCAACTTCCCCAACACAAAATTACAAAAATGTATACAAGATAGGAAGGAAATGAGACGAATAAGGCGGTTTTTTTTTAAACAAATTATTTAAATTGTTCAACTGATGACAAAAGAAGTGAAAGTAAGGAGTAAGGTACAGATATTAAAGCTTTACGGACAAGCGTGCCGGCAACATCAACAAGCTACAAATGGCCATTTTTATTTTGTTGAGTAAAAGCACGATATCAACCAATTCTGTCCAGTCTCTCAATTTCTCTAACAGCCCTGTTTAATTTTCATACATGCAAGCATTAAAACTGTCAGTTTGTAGAAGGGAGAAGTCCATGTTTGACAGGATATGTCGCTTGCTATTTTCTGACAGATTAAAAGACGTGTGCTTTGTTGGGGTGAGGGGGCGGAGCTCTAACAAGCAGGTAGCAGTGTGATTGGCCAAACGCTGCTAGGCAGAGCTTTGGCGAGGCTGAAGCTACAAAGCCCGTTAGCCGGTCTTTTCTCCTGGATTGAAAACAAAAGCAGGAGTTCCTGGGGTGGCAGCAGGTTTTGGGCTTTACAAGGAAAGTGAGGCGTTGACATGGCAACGAGACTAACTGTCTCTTTTCATTGTTGTGTCCACCCTTCTTCCCGGCTCACATGGACTCAAACTCATCAATGCGCTGCTTGGTGTTGCCCTGGCGGATCTGGCGCAGAGTTTTGTACTTGTCTCTGCCTGCTCTGACGTTCTCGGCATGCAGCATGTCGTTCTGCGTTTTCTTGGTATCATCCCGGGCCTCGGCCAACTCTGAACTCAGAGCCTGGATAGAGGAAAGAGACAGACAGAGGGGGGGGGGGTGAGAGATCACACACACTGCATCGTAGTTTGGGAACCATTGAGCCAAGATGAGATCAATGGCGTATCATTTTTTAGAAAAAGTTTGTTCATTTATTATCTTTGCCATGTCACATCATCATTGTGGTTTGGTCAAAAGATGATACGGGCTTTCTTATTTCATAGGAATATTTCATTTAACCATGTTACATATTGTAACAGTTTCATTTGTGTAACCATGTAAAAATATATATTTTATAGTACTCCTGTAAGGCCAGCTAATGTAATATTTAAACATTGGAACAACATTGCTGACAGTGTTTTTCAAAGTGGTGGGCACCAGGGAGGCCCTCAAAATGTGTATTCTTATAAAATATAATTTAAAATAATATATAACATATCTAAATCTCATGCCCAACTTTCTAATTGCCTGCCATTCAAAACATTTATTTATGTCATTCATTCATTTATAATAACGTGACAATAAAGTGTCAGTGTTGACCTGGTATTGGTCTGTGCCTGCCACAAAGCTACTCTGCTCCTCAAGTTTAGCTAGATAGCTTGCTTGCTAGCATTAATTAAAACGCTTTTTGAAAAAAAAAAACCTGACGAGCAGATCTTACTCCCAGACACACACACGCACACACACACACACACACACACACACACACACTGTAGCTGCAGAGTACTTGTATTTAACGTTAACTGTCGTAAATACCACTCACCAGAGCCGTCTCTATATACGGCTCTACGTCTCTGCACTCACGGCCTGATCCCCTCCCCCCTGTATACCGGTACACGTTCAGTAGGATGGAAGCGTCGGACATCGAACAGGCAAAGATAGACTCTGAAGATGTCTACTGACCAGGTAACGTCTGAGTGAATGCCTGCTAGTGTCTTCCATTGAGGCTGCTTCTTATGGCGCTGATGTATGTGACATCGCACCGTAAAGCAATTCATGATTCTCGCGAGATTTGGCGGGACGCCACCTTTCAGACTTGCATTGCTGGTTCTGCCAACGGCGTCCCTCTCCTGCTTTGCTATCGGGATGATTCGCTATACTACGAGTTTGTTTACCATCGAAATTACTTCGAAGTTGTTATATTAAGGTAAAAATCTTGCATAGTGTGCCTTTAAGCTAAACTGACAAAACAAATCTTAATGGAATAGAAGATGGAAGATTTTAAATACAAATGTAATAATTATTGCATCTGAGATTTGTCTCACGCTGAAAATGAGTTCTAGCAAATATTGACATTGTAACTAAATTTCATTGTATGCCTACAATGAGAAATAAAGTGTCTTATGTCTTATGAAATGTTAACCCATTAAGCAAGTATTTTAAAAACTGAAACATGCAACATGTCTTTAATATTTGACTAAATTGGACCAGTGACATCTCATGGATGGATGGAATAGGATGGTGTGTGATGGTATGAGAAAAATTAGCCATGTTTTATTTTTTTCTATGATTGCATGTTTTGAGGAATGTTAAAAGTTGCATCACTGCAGCCAGACGGTATGTGGCACAACCCGTCTTCCCTTTAGTTACTGAAAATGATGAAGTTGTTGTTTCCATTTTTGCAAAACACTGAATATTATTTTTGGTGTTTTATTCATGGCTTCAGGCCTGATTATCAACAGTATGTGATAATGTGCATTACTTTAGTCACTGCAACTTTTTGATGTTTTCTTTGAAAACTAATACGTTTAATTTCCCATCACTCCACTCGCACTGCTTGCACTGCTGCTCTACCTGTAGCTGTTTCTTGACACGTTCGTTCTTCTGTGCCTCGGTGATGCGTTCCTCTTCGCTGCGGTGGCTGGTGACACCCTCACTGAGCAGCTCTGCGCTCGCTTCTGCGTTCGTTTCGTCTTGCTCGTCGTGCTCTGGTGCCGGCGGAGACGTCATGGCTGTCTTCAGCTCCTCTCTGGTCCTCTCCAGGTCATCTTGTGCTGACAGAGCCTGTAAACAACACACATACTTATAGAGGGAGACAGACTGACAGCTTACAGACATTAATACAGAAAGATATGGACAGATGCACACATGTTTAACCACTGACATAAAGATAGTTGTGCCATCCTGGTCTAAACTGTGTCAGAGATTTTTAAATTATTTTTGAAAAGAATAGAATAGCATGAATCATGGTAAAATAAAAACAGTAAGTGAGGTGAAAATTGCTTCATGTTCAGTCTGAACACATAGACGCTCCTTTAGTAAAACCTATGTATCAAGTATCAAGCCTATATGAACTACCACCTCCTGTATATTTATGTATGTATATTTTACCTCTAACATATATATGGATCTTACTACAAGGTATGCAACTATAAAACTGCCTTTACTTTAAACACTTTAAAGTACTTTAA